GAGAGAGAGAGAGAGAGAGAGAGAGAGAAAGAGAAAGAGAAAGAGAAAGAGAAAGAGAAAGAGAAAGAGAAAGAGAAAGAGAAAGAGAAAGAGAGCGTCTTACTTTAAACATAATGTCAAGACTCCTCTCTTAGCATTATTGAAACACAGCAGTTTCCATAATGCTTCAATTATCTTAATAGTCTAACTGACTTTTAAACAAATCATGAAATCACAGAAAATTCACACGAACTGTATTTACCATATATTCACTTTTCCTTAAACATAATCTGATTAAAGAAAATAAATAAATAAAGTAATTTCACATGATCATACCAGCATTCTCCTCTCACTGTGTTTAAATGTCAAATGTAAGAGACGAAAGTGGTGTCATACAATTCTACTGTAAATATCAAGCACTCTGGAATACTTTTCTGTATTATGGCTGAATACATATAACAATGAAAAGTTATGTAATATTACTAAATATATGTTACTATTACTTTAGTCTAGAACAAAAGACAAATAAAACTAATAATTTCATAATCATTTGTAATTCAGCTACACAGATATAGTACTGGTAGTATTTTTGAACATCTGAAATTGTTAAGTTTAATCAGTACATTACTGTGATTCACAACATTTTGCAACAAAAAAATAAGAACATGGTTTTGCACATCAACTGTTGAAACCTACACACATACATCTATCTATTAATCAATCAATCAGACAATAAAATAATTTTACATTTTACACACATACCTCTATCTACATATCCCTATCACTATCATGTGCATATGCGCATCTCTATCTGCATATTCCCATCTCTATGTATGAATATGCATATGTATATACATACATATACAAAAAAAGATAGATAGATAGATAGACAGATAGATAGACAGATAGATAGATAGATAGAGGTAGAGGTAGCTATATCAAAATTAAATCCCTACTTTAAAGTGTTACATTTCAGGGACAGGGGAAGAAGATGGAGTGGAACATTTAGATTGTCTGTTGCAAAAAGAACAGCAAGGAGGAAGAGGGGTAGGCACATGGGAGGAAGAGATTGGAGTGTCTGGATTTAGAATGGCAAAAAAAATTGAATGGGAAAGGGAGGGGGTAGAAGTGGGACTAGGAGGTAGAGATCCTGGGGGAGATGTACAAACATCTTGGAGAGAAGGGGGAGGGGCAGAGTAAAGTACAGCACTAGAGTTGGGAGAAAGTGAAAAATCCTGTTAGCATGCCTCCTGCCTGACCATGCATAACATGAGGCCAAGTTGGAAACTGAGGGCTGCTACCTTAAATTCAAACCTCTAGGTGGGGCAGCCCCTATAAAATACAGTATGTGAACCACCACAATTGGCATATGTGCATTATTGAGCAGGGTAGTTTGAACAATCATGGCCAGGTAGAAACATAGAGGGCAGTAGGCTGTGGAGCAACAGTGCTTATCAGGGTGGCCAAAACACTAACACTGACATTGATGGGAGAGGGGTTGATATGGTCTGACAGGGCAGGACTCTCCACCAACAAACTTTATGGGAGGTAATCTTGGCACTGTTGGTGTAGGACTTACGGAGAACTCTAGAGAGAATAGAGTAGCACTGTATTGATACTACATCACAGTCAACAACTCAGGCAAGCAGGTCATTCTCATAGTCTGACCAAACTTATCATAGACAGTGCAATCAGCTGGGGACATGGAAATAGTAGTGGGGCTCGGTAGGAATTACTTTGTCAGTGAGCTCAGTCACGGTAAATAATGCACAAACTTGGGACTAAGATATAACTGTGACAAGTTGTGAACAATCAGAACAGCTACATATTTGTTTTTGGAGGTATTGTTGGAATAAGAGGGTACTGTCACAGTAAGGAGCTGTAATGGGAATTGCAAGAAAATTATTTAATTCTGCTGGGCTAAAAAGAGTGCTCAAAATATTGGTAGAGATGTGTGCAGTTGAAGGACAAGGACGAGAGAAAGAGGTAGTGGTGCTAAGCAAGTTAGTACTACGGGGAGGTGGACAATAAGGATGCAGAGTAGTTGTAACAGATAAGGGGGTGGTTGAAAACAAAGAAGACTGGAGGCTGAGAAGATGGAGTAGGGGATGTTAGGAGCATGGAAGGAATGTTTTCTAATAGTTGGGTAATGACCTGGGTTGGTGGTTTGGAATGGATTGAGCTGACAGCAGCTATAGAAGAGGGGGAAGTAGTCCTGTTCAGTCACAATCAAAGGAGAGCCTGGAGTCGAGAAACTAGAAAAGTTAATGTCATTAAGGCTATATGATAAAGGGGCAGGCCTCAAAGGTGCAAAATCATTAGTGGCCATAGTAAGCCTGAGGTATGTGGGGAAGAGAAATGGTTCATCCCTCTGGGTCCCCATGAGGGGTATGGACTAGATAACAAAAAAAAAAAAAAAAAAAAAAAAAAAAAACTGTTACCATGACACCCTGAAGCCGTTCAGAAATGACCGAAAACCAACCTTTAATCCTTTCAACACAGCTCATATATTAGGAGGTGGACTGGAGAAGGGGTTAGACAAAAGGAGGAAAAAGAAATGGGGAGAGGAAAAGACTGTGCTAAATTGGTTGAGCCAATGGTTGAGCCCAAGGTTGGGAAGTCCCCATCATTGGGCCTCATTCTCAGTCACCTAAGCTCCCATGACAAAAATAGGCATGGGATGCAGATGGAAGGCTAAAGCATAAAGAAATGAAAATACTTGGTATAACCTATAAACTTGAGTCAGACCAACATAACCTTCTTTGCCTTCCATTTATTCAACAAATAAGCAGTTAGTTACTCTTTATGGTATGGATGCACTAAGCTATGGCTAATTGACAAAGGATATTCTTTTAGAGGACAAAAAGTTTCAGTGGTAGATATAAGAAATAATATGCAGCCATGAACTCTAACACCACAAATGAAGGAAAAAGATCTCGGAAAGTGCCGCTCACAGGCTAACTCCACTTGGTACTCCAGAGTATCAACTCTATCTAGCCATGCATACCGAGGTGAAGACAATGTCTGCTGGGGGTGTTGGAGGGCAGAGCCACCCATCAACATTCCCCTCAGGCAATCTCTGAGGACACACCCAGTCACAACAATTTAGATTGTTGAATCTTTTGCGACGAGGCATTGGGGACTTTGTCTCTGGTGATTACATCAATACTGTAAAGGCTGATCGAATCCTCTTCATAATAGTAATAGCACTATTTGAAATCATCTATACCTATGTAATACTTAAATTAGAGAATTATGCGAAGTAGTATAAAGAAAAAATCTAATAGCTGGTTTCTTATTGGATTAATAAATTGCTCAGGAGGACTAAATGCCAGATGTCACTTTGAATCAATGTTAGTGCTAAAAGGTAGGTCCTATTTCTCATTATTTATATATATTATATAAATGAAATTATTTTCTTTTCCAGGCTGCAACAACCATTTCCTGAAGAAGTAAGCTCGGGATCTACTGATTTATCAACTCCATCTAAAGTTTATAATGTACTTTATGGCTGTCTAAAATTTTAGAGGATCTGTACTTTTTTTCATGGTCCCCATTTGTGCACACATTAATAAGCTCTCTGGTTACATCTATTTCAATATCTACTGCACTTCATAATAGTCAGGATATGAAAATGCTCAAAATCATTTGTAATTCTTAGTAATTATTTGCTTATTTTCAGATGCAAAAAATTTATGGTCAAAATGAAATTAATAAATCTTAGTAACACTTTTACCGTTTAAATCAGTTCTACATGTGTGCCACATCAGAATGTCTTTAACTATCTATTACTTATTATTACTCTTTACTTACTGTCTTCTACTTGCAATTTCTTGTCTAGATTAGCAGATGTCTAGGGGATGTCAGCCCTGGCCATGTCATGCAATGAGCCTACGTGATCTAACTGAAAAGCAGTGACATATTTCCCTGCAGTGGGAGAGACACTTTTCCTAACACTGAAGAATGACGCTCCAAAATAAAAATCGTCTAAAAGGTGTCATCATAAGATTCTCTTTTAAAACGCCCTTTCGATATTTCTTTTTACGGCAATTCCATGCACTAGCCAAGTCCCTCAGTTTGACACTTACATATATATTGTCAATGACGTGTTTGGTAGCGTAACTACAGTGAAATAAGTGACTTAATGTTTCAAGCACACCCGAGAGAAAGTGTTAAATATGTACAACAGTGTAATTACAGCGAAATAAAGTGACAAATGAGGCCACCACACCCAAGAGACGTGTTTACCTGCTCACAGCTGATCCAAGACCACGCGTTTCAACTTCTGCAAAACATCGAAATCACAATGAAATTATATCAGCGAATTTCCTATGTTTTCTTGTCTCGTGTACTCTCGAATATTTCTTTATATCTCGTATGATATCTTCAGATGTAAAATGTATAGCTTATAATAAGTGGCTTCAAAATGACTATAAGTGATAAAACAGAAAGTCCAAGCCACAGTCAGCAGTCATTCGAACATATTGGCGGGAGACGGTTGCTGAGGAAGGTTCGACGCCGATTTTTATTTTATTTTTTCTCAACATTTCTACCTTTTACCTCGGATTAGCCGGTAGGAGATCACGTTCTTATATCACCCATGGTTCTTTTATGTGTGTCTGCTATTGGTTTACTGAAACAGCACACACAGGATCAGCAATTGTTGCATGAATGGCTTCCCATTTTGGTTAACATCGTGTTCCAGTCTAGCGTCGACAAAAAGAGATTAGTGAAAAATAAAGATAATTGTGTATTTTTTATTAAATTTGGTGACTATGTATTATAAGACAGAAGGGTAATGTTCTGTTATATTCAAATGTTATTGGCATTATATAATTTTTGTGTGGGTCGATGTAGGTGTAGTTGCTAATTTTTCTTTCATGCCACTTTATTAACAATAAAAGTTTTATTTTTGTCAGATAACTATTTACACTTATATTGCAGCAGATACCCTATTAGAATGCAATGCTAGATAGGCTAAATCCAACAATGCTATTATGAATTACTGACAAAATAGGTAACTAGTCCAAGCTCTATCTTGCACAACATTTGAGGGAGTGTGTAGGCTACTGCGGAGGACTGTGCACAAAAGCGTCGGTGCCTCATCATTTCATTATATGCAACTGCAATTTTTCCTGGGAATATTATTTTCCATTAGAACTATTTCCGTAAATATAACATAGTGGTTGCCATCCCTCATTAGTGACAGCTGCCCATGCAGTGGTTGTACCTCCTGTGATATTGTCCAGTCACCCTCTAGAGCTACGTGTTTGAGTACTCAAGTGTACAGTTGTTATACTTTGTAATGTGGGAGCGGTAGAGGTTACAGAGACGAACGCACGTAGATAGAGGGAAATGGACACTGCCATCTTATAGAGTGGGATGGAACATAGTTTAAGTTGCGCTGGACTCATATTTACCGTTAAATAGAAAAAAATTCAGGTAGTGTCATCATAGGGTTACATGTTACAGCTAAAGGCTAAAGGTTAACCATATACTGCATCAAAATGCAACTCTGACAGATTATCAGTGAAACATTTTTAAAGAGAAATAGTAGTAGCCATACCTTATGCTCTTCTATATCAAATACTTATCTTTTTTTTCTTCTTCTTCTTTTTTTCTTTCTTAGTGTCCTCATTACCCCAAGGACAAGCATTCTACAAGCAGAATCTTTGGAAAAATGTCATCCACACCCAATGTGAAGAAGCAGCCAACTATATCCAAGTTCTTCGCCCCAAAGCACAAGAATGGGGGTGCAATGTTCAGAACAGATGAGGAAAAGAAGGAGAAAAACAACAAAGTTGTAGAGGTTCATATGCTTTATTGATATAAACAGTATATGATTTTATTTATAGCAACAGGAATAATATTATTGGAATAATGATAAATTTTGTAAAAAAAAAAATTAATAAAATAAAGGTTTTCATTTCTATGAATGGTTTACAGGTAAATTATTCACCAACGTTAAAAAGGACAAAGAGCAGTGGCTCTGAAAATGGGTCACCAGTCGCTGAGCACAAGTCCAAGAAACTCAGAGGTGAGGATAGTCACTCAGGCAGCTCAAGTCAAGAAACCAGTGAAAGTGGCGCATGTGAAAAGAAATCCCTAGCACCATGGACCAAGAACAGGCTTCAGTCATTTAAAGCTGGTAGGCCCTATGGTTATATATATTTTTTTTTTTGTCTCTGTTGCATTCTCTGTATAGGTATGCATATCTCTCTCTCTCTCTCTCTCTCTCTCTCTCTCTCTCTCTCTC